CTTGATTCCCATGGGACCTTACCTATCAGCTCTCTGAGCTTACCAAAATCTGCCTTCCTGAAATCCATTGTCTCTATTCCCCATGCTCCAGGTGGGAATGGGGCCCTTCCCATCACAAAGGGAGAAATGAAGACACAACTGATCATGGGCAAGATGCAAAGAGCCAGAATCTGAGCAGATAGCTCCCCAGGTAATTTGTATCATGGCAACATTCCAGGAGCAGAAACACGGGTGCAGTGCTAGCCTTGTCCCTCAAGGGTGGGAGTTGGGATCTTCTCCACAGAAGAGCTAGAATCTTCATTCGGCAAGCCTGGCCACAGGCATCTTACTGAAGGATTTCAAGTGAGTCAGGTTAACTACAAAGCCCTGCTGCTTTCATGCAACTATTTCATACTTTCAATTCCCCTGCCATCCTGTAAACCAGCAACACATCAGAGACTTTCTGGAAATAGCTCATTGTCTAAGATCTCTAAGCACATGCCTCTCTCCTTGAGGCAACACTCACACAGCACAGGGAAGAGATCCCAAATATTAGCAACAAAACAGGCTGATATTCACTCCTTGTCCTGCTACACGCCCACCCACCTGCGACAACCACCATCCCTCTTTCCCCATTCCCTTCGCTTTCAGGGGCATGAAGTTCAAAGAGTGGGAATGACAACTCCTTGCAGACCCACCAGGGGCAAGTTCCAGGCAGCGGCTCACTGCCTTGCTGGGCAGCAGAAGGGATCAAGGTCACAAAGGGCTGAACTCTCTTACCTTGTCATGCTTTCGGACCAGCTCGTGTCTCTGGAGGAAATACTGGTCCTTCAACTGCTGCTTGATAAGCTGGTGTTTCTCCTGTAGGTGGTGCTCTTCTAGTTCCCAGATGGAGGCTTCTCGGTCTAAGGAAGGAGAGAGAAATTAACACACACTCACTCTTCTCCTGAGCTCTAGTGATCCCATTACTCGGAGCAGTAAAGCAGATGAAGGGGCAATCATACACCTTCTCCTGTTTTCCAAGAGGCCCTGGTTGCAAGCCATATCTGTGAATTGTCTCTTGTAATTATGAGGCCTAATTGGTTCGTATTTGTAAAGCGCTTTGGAGATTAAACCGCTAAGCATTATTATTAAACATTCAGGCAGGATCTGGCAAGGCTGTTTATTGCTAAATCCTCCTGACAGCTTGCAGCAATGTCAGCATCTGTTGTGTAGGAAGAGCCAACATTGGATAAACCCATCACTACAGCGTTTGTTTTCTCCCTCCTCACTCTATCCCACTCACCTCTCATGAGCTGCTGCTTTTTGTTCAGGCACTCACGCTCCTTGTCGCAGATCTCCTTCCTGTTCTGCATAGTAATATTATTCATGGCCAGCTCCAGATCCTCTTTCTGTTTGGCTACAAACTCTCGTTCCTGGGGGGAGATGCCAGTACAGTGAACTGTTTTCCAGCTGTAACTTTACGTGCACCTTCGGTATTTTAAACCCTGTGGCACTTGGAGGTAAGAAGCCAAGTCACCAGGTGCCCCTCTCCTGCATCCCCCCTGCTCTTCGGTGTGGGGCTAATCCTTTCTTGGGCTTACCAAGACTTGCTTCTTCTGCACAAATTCCTCTGTCTTCACCTTCATGCTCTCCTTGCGCACATACCGGGGAAGCTTCTCAACTTCGATCTTGACCTTTGAGAGAGGAGAGGAGACTTCTCAGCAGGTAACTTAGGCTGAAGCTCCACCTCAGGAGCTGGGCTATAGGAACAATCCTAGGGCATAAGAGAAAAGCAGAAGCCTCCCACTGAAGACAGCTACCGCTGCCTCTCACCTCCCTGCCTCCAAGATATCCCCTGGGTAAGGATGCCGCAATCCACTCCTGGAAGGAAAGCTCTCCATAACAGCTACCGCAAACCAGTTCTTCCCCATCCCTGTCCCATTTTTACCTCCTTCTTCTTCTGCTTAAGCTGCTCCTGGAATTTGTTGTAGTCTCGTTCCTGCTCAGCACGGATGCGCTTTGCCTCCTCCCGCCGGCGTATCGAGTGATCTTGTTCCATCTTCTCGATCTGCTGCTTCTGTTGACGTTCTAGGTTCTCCAGCTCAGTGTCGTAGAATTTCTTTTTTGCCTATATTTTGGAGGTGGGGGAGGGGGGGAGGAAAGAGAACGAAGTTCAGACTAAACCTTTTCTGGGCTATATTTTCTCAAAAAAAATAGTGAGCACTGAAGGAGTTGAGCCTCTTTTTATAAGTGGACGCAAGAAGTTTATGAAAATGAGATACTAATTGTATTGGGAAGAGCCAAGCCTGGGGATGGGCAGGCATTGTGCAAGTGTCTCCCTCCCCCCTCACCCCCAGTTCTGCCAATGCACCTCAATCTTGGGCATGTCTACACTTACCTCCGGAGCGATCGATCCAGCGGGGGGTCAATTTATTGTGTCTAGTGAAGACGCGATAAATCGACCGCCAAGCGCTCTCCCGTCAACTCCAGTACTCCACCGGAGCGAGAAATGTAGGCGGAGACGATTGGGGAGCGCCAGCAGTTGACCTACCACAGTGAAGACACTGCGGTAAGTAGATCTAAGTAAGTAGACTTCAGCTACGTTATTCACGTAGCTGAAGTTGGTTGTGTAACTTAGATCGATTCTCCCCCCCCAGTGTAGATCAGGGCTTGAGCAGCAGAACCCCCTTATTCCATCTCTGGGCTTGGCCGACTCAGCAGGCGAACTTCATTCCTGACATGCAATATACTTCTGGTAGCGACATCCTGGGCAGAGACTGGTGCTGGGAGGAGCCCAAATGTAAGATTTCTTGCTCAACATCCCTGGGTATG